CCAGTCTGTTCCACTGCTGAAGCTCAGAGGAGAAGCGGGTATTTCGGGTGAACCAAACAGGGTGTTGGGACTGGGATGGGGAGGAGCCTTAAACTACTGATCTGCTAAAGTGCCTAGAGGCTTGAGGAGTGGAAGAGCCTCTCCTACTCGTGTTTGAGAGGGTTCAATAAAGATGTCGCTGTTGCCTTTTTTGGAACCTGGTCCCTGAAAGTCTGTCTGTGGAACTGTTCTGTTTGTTTTCCTGCCAGCTCGGGAGTGTCCTGAATGTAAATACTGATACTTGCCAAGTGGAAAGGATTGATTAGCAATCAAAATATTTTGTGTAGGAATTGTGGATACACCGTGCTTGTGTGGATTTTGGAGAGACCAAAATGGAGTTATTGTGTTTCCTCCCATGGGCTTTACATTAATATCTGTGGTGCTGTGCTTCAGTGTTTTCTTTCCTTTTCCTCTCCTTGAATTACAGATGTTTTAGCTGTAGTTGTTTGTTCTTTCGGCAGCTTTTAAATGCTCTGCTTGACTTTTCCTTTAGTGCAAAGTCTTTCTCCTGTTTACATCACTTTGTTAGCTGCCACTGCCACAAACATATGCTATCTATTGCTTTTGGTGTGAATGAAGCATATCTTTTGATCTTTCAGATATGCTTTGTGGAAAGTTCTTGGTTTTCTTTTGCATTGCCTCCCCTAGTGCTGGGTAAGTGGTAGTGAAGGCAAGACTGGTCTTATTGTTATCTTTCTGCTGGATGAAGCTCCACCTCATTATTTACTTGGAGACAGAGGTGGTAGAAATCCTTTTCATAATTCTTTCTGTCCCACTGCACACTGACGGTATTGTATTGCCATCCACTTCTCTCCATTTTTCCTTTTTCGCTTTATCAGTTTTTAAAAAATATTATCTTTAGCAAAAAATGATACCAACTCATGATTCAATGTATATCCTAAACCAGTGATCCTTTATCAATTTAGTTGTTATTTATCTGCTTATAGCAAATGCTTTGCAATCCTCTGCTGTAAAATGTCCGAAATAGGTGTGCCAGAAGATCCTTACATCTGCACACGTCATTGATGCCTTTGGGGCTACAGGGTGTGCAGAGAGCTGTCCAAGTGCATTTTTATTTCAGGATCAGCAATTCTAGGTGCATCTGCATTAGATGATATTGCAGTTTATGTAAATATGTCTTCAAACCAGTTAAGGAGCTGTTGGTCGAGTAGGAGCAGTTGCCAAAAGCCCAGCACGTGCGAGGGTGTGAGCATGTGGCCAGCTGCTCAGAGATGTTTGCTGCTACCTTTGAACTCGGCCGTACGACCAAGAGCCTCCAAGCAATTTCAGTGTGTTTGCAGCTGCAGTTACGGTTTAAGTGCTCTTGAACTTGCTTGTGAAAACAACTCGATGCTTTATTTGCCACACAGAGTGCTATAAATGCAGACGGTGTCATGCAAGTACATAACACTTGATACATTGCTGTAATGACAGTTTGTTTCCCCCATCATTTTCGGCATCAGTTGTCAGCTTCTTTTATGGATGTGCTTGTGATGGCCTCAGTCAGCCTGAAAAACACCAACTGTTGAGGAATGTTAAATGTTTTCATGTGCAAAACAATGCACTGGTTTGATGAGTGTCTGTTTTTATGGCCAGCCCTAGTTACCTGCGGCTCTGCTCAGGGAGTCCAAGTGGGTTACTGCACAGGCAGCTTTGTGGAGCCAGCCCATTAGATGCTCTGGGCATAGGAATGAAGTGGAGTTAGCTGAATATGGTCCTGTGTGTCGTCTCTTGAGCTGGAGATGAGTGCTCGTGTTGGAAGGAGCCGTAGCCTCAGCACCTGTTTGAGGTCCTGTCTGCTCTTTGAAGAGGTTAACTCATGAACAAAGCCTTTGGAAACTCCCGCCTTTTCTACACTAGCGTTGTTCTGAACAAATTATTTTTTGCCTGTACCAGCTAATGATGTAGGCTGATGGAATGTTGGATCATAAAATAAAAATTGTGTCTTTATTGCTCCTTCATACACTGAATGCTACCTTAGAATTTACAGAAGCACTGTACCTCATTGTTGAACAGAAAGGCCTTTCTGCCTCCAGCTGCTGCCAAAAGTGTGCTGGAGGCTTTTTTCTACGGCTGCTTTTCATGGTGATTACCCTGTCGCTTTCGACCAGCAAAGACAGTTTCCAAAGAACGAGGTTTTCACTTTGGAATCAGCCAGATGGTATGAAACAGGAGGCATCTTTATGTGCGGCCGGAGAGATTAGCTCCCTTGAGTTGTGGAGACTGAATAAGTGAAACAGCTGCTGCACCTGGTTTCTTTGTGAGTAAAATGTTTAACTGGTGTGTTTCATTACGGCCCCAGTGACGTCGGTGCGGCTGATTTTATTCGCATCGGAGAGATTTGACCCTCCGTGCGCGCAGACTAAGCATGGCTGAGCGCCCTGCGTTACATCATCGAAGCAGTGCAAATGTTCCCGTCAAAGTCTAGCAAACCAAAGGAATTGATCAAAGATGGAGTAATGAGTACAGAGTGTTTCCCACCAGCTCGGTCTCATTCCTCTTTGGGGTATCTGTGACACTTGGGCGTGCAAGACGTTAAACGGTGAAGGCAGATGTTTGTTAGACTGCCAGGAACAGGTTGTTGCTATTGGGAATGGCTTTGAGAATTGTGTTCTGAAGTAGTTTCCTCAACTTGAAAATCACTCTTGACTGGTGTTTTTCCCTGTTAGTCTTACAAAGGGAGCCCCTCCAACATGAATCAATGGAAAGGAGCTCAAGCCAGTAAAAGCTCTGCTTTTCTTCTTCGTTTGACACGCAGGAGTTGGAAAAGATTTTAAACCCAGGAAAAAGCAGCAGTTTAGCCCCGAAATGGTCTGCTTGGCTCAGAGCTGTATTGTACACGAAATTGCTTTAGCAATTTTCAAACTGATTACATTGAAGTTGGCAGTGCCCCTTTCGACTGGAGTTATTGATGCAAGACCCATCTTACTGTAACGGCTGCCATTTCAGTGCCCTGAATGGAAACCATTGATGCAGGGAAGTGCCGGTGCGTCGTGCCATTCGGAGTTTTCCAGCACCCAAGATGCCAATGGCTGCATGAACCCAAATTCAGAGCCATTAAATGGCCCATCACGTCAGCAGTACAGGTGACAGTGACAAAAGCACAAATTCAGGAAGGTGCTGCCTGAGCTAATTAATAACTGTTTTCTAAAATGCATTAACGAGAGACTCCCGCAGCTTCTCCCTGTTGCCTTCCTAACGAGACGGCACTGGATTAGTGCCGTTAAGAAAATCTCTTCAGTCTCTGAAGCAGTCTTCTGATTGCATATCTGGGACAGTTTCTCTAATCAGCTTTTGGTTATTGAAAGATATTGCTGTCACCTTAAAAAGTGAATTATTTTTAGCCAGCTGTAAAATGAAGTATGTTGTGGAGCTCGTTTTCTAGATCCTTATCTTCCGTAGTGTTTTTTTTTTTTTTAAAGCCCCAGGCAATATGAAAATCTTGGGGTTTTATTTGATGTTGGGAATCATCCCAAAATATTCTTCCTCATGTTCTTTAATTTTTATTTTGATTTATAGGGTGTTTAAACTTTTAAACCTTTGCTTTGTTAACCCTTTAGGGTCAGAGTATCGCTTGGACTAGCGTGCCAGTTTCAGCTTTGATTCAGACACTTGGTTTGTGTCGCAAAGCAGAGGCTTTATGGCCCCTGATTTAATAGCAGCATATTATTATAATTGAGGTTTACATGGGAAATCAGAATCATAGTCTCCCATAAAAACATTTTGCTGGCTGTAGTTACAGCTAGAAACACCTTAGGGCTTAATGATTTATTCTGAGATCTTCGTTTTGAGTATCCCGTCCGTTAAGGCTGTTGCAAGCAGCAGTTTTTTTGGAGTCCTGTGACAGAATATACAGAATGTCAATTGGGATAAAGCTCTGGCTAACCATTTACCACTAGAGGGCCTTGACAATTCTCATTAATTTTATTCACTTTCTGGAAAGGCAGCAGTAAAGTATTCATCTTTAAAGATTTTCTGTATCACTGTGGAGGCTCCTACCTTCTGCACAAAAAGTTGGAGTCAGATTGGCAGGCTATATTATCTGCATACATCCTAGCAGATATTCTGCAAAGCCAATCTAGCTCTGTTTGTTGTGCTGCTTGCTGTTTAGAGCTGGAGAAAAATTAAAATGTGTCAACACTAGCACTTAACCCAGTTGTCCTTCTTGTTTCCTGTCTCATAGGTTTGGTTTGGGTGTTCCTGTTATTCTGAGAAACTCAGAAGAAACTGAATCCAGCGCAAGAGTATTGAAAAAGCAGATGAGACAAGTGAAGAATCCTTTTGGGTTAGAAATCCCTCATCCTGCTACAGCTTCAGTAGCAAGTCAGTGGATTGCTGATGCACTTGATTTTTGTCAGTTTGAGTTCCTGGACTTAGCATGTTCTGTTTTCTTGCTTTTTTTCTCTATCAAAATTCCATAGAAACATGCTTCCTCCCGTCATTACAACAGAAATAATTTTTACGCAGCTTATATATGTGGTGTTTCTAAAAGTGAAATGTTTGAATATTTAACAACAGTTTAATTCTTGTTAACAAAACACTTCCTGCTATACCAGATTTTTAAGTAACAAAAACATTTGCAGTTTACCAGCTACTGTGGACATTTTTGTAAACTTTACAGAATTGTCGAATTCTATATATTCATTATAGAATACATGCTGCCCTCTTAAAAATCTAAGTCCAGATGTCCAACAGTGTTTGGAAGTGCACTACTTAAAAATAAATAAAAAATAAAAATTAATAAAATAAAATTTATTATAAATTTAATAAAAAATAATAAACATTTCCCTCTCTTTCTATCAGTGCTTCAGTGGAAACTGAATTTAAATATCTCTTTGGATCAGAGTTCAAGTAGTTCCTAACATCCTCAAAATTACTAATGTAGAAAGTGAAATTCATGCCCTTCTGCATCACTGGGGAGTAGTAAGCAAGGCTGAGCATCTTCCACCATCCCAGATGTGAAGCCTTCCTGTGAACGAGAAAAGGGCTGCAGCAGTTTTACCCCTTCCCCAACATTAAAAAGAACCCAAACCAACAAACCCAACAACTTAGTCTTCAGGTAACAGGATTTTTCAGGAGGTTTGAGCAGTTGAATTTAGTGGGACTTTTCAAGAGCTCTGCTCCTGTTTGTGCAGTAAGTGTTTAGGAGTTAATGGGTTGGGTACTGGATTTTTTAGAAAAGAAATGAAGCGCATTGATCCTCTTTTTATCCTCCCTCTGCTTGATCAACAGGGCCTTATTCTTTGAGACCAGAGAGGGTGTTGTAGACGAGTGATCCAGTGGGCTTTGGGCTAGGGGTTGTGCTCTTGGGTCTGCCAGTGAGTGTGTAAAATGGTACCGAAAGTTTACCCTTCGTAAAACACACACGCTGCTTTTGTTGTCTTAATCAGCCATTTTATCTCCTTACACTCACTTCCTCATCACCATGGACTTTCATAAGCACTAAACCTAGTCTAAATTCTTAGAACATTAAATAATAATGATAAAAATCCAGGACACTGAAGTTCATAGAATCATAGAATGGTTTGGGTTGGAAGAGACCTCAAAGATCATACAGTTCCAACCCCGCTGCCATGGGCAGGGACATCCTCCACTACACCAGGTTGCCCAAAGCCTCATCCAACCTGGCCTTGAACACTTCCAGGGATGGGGCAGCCACAGCTTCTCTGGGCAACCTGTTCCAGTGCCTCACCACCCTCAGAGTTGTTTTCTGCCTGGCCCTTTAAGAACCTGCACTTATGTCCAGAATTCCTGTGTGTTGGTGAATTAATGGAATCCTTGTCTTCTTTCTGCAAGAGGGTATAACACTGACACCTGATTGTCTGGAAGACTGTGTTCTTACGTGCTACTGGGGCTGCAGCGTTCAAAAACTCCACGAAGCATTGCAGAAACACGTCTACTGCTTCCGAATAAAGACTCCTCAGGCATTAGAGGACGCTCTGTACAGCGAATACCTCTATCGGCAGCAGCACTTGTATCCTTTCTGAAACTGTTTTGACAAAATATGCTGATTTTTTGGCACAGGGAGCGTCGAGACTCATGAACGCTCGGCAGTTCTTGGCACCATCTATTTATGAACGGATATGATGAAGAGTATTCTTTGTGCAAACGTCACGTTTGTCTACCATTGCAGCGACACTGATTGTTTTCCTTGACACATACAAAGCATTAAAAAAAATGACAAGGAAGAAAAATATTGTCAGTTACCAGAAGATGCTCAAGTTGTTGATTTTGGCCCAGTGCCTAGATCTCGCTATCCCTTGGTAGCATTGTTGACGCTGGCTGATGAAGAAGACAGAGAAATATATGATATTGTAAGTAATATAAGAATATATTTTAGGGTCACTGTATTTAAGGTCTGAACGTTTCAGGAGTCAGGCCTGAATAAAACAGCTTCCTTTCCCTGTCCCCTAGAATTTGATCCCTAACTTTGTCAGTGATGACTCCAGGGGAGCATGACAGAAGAGCAAGAATAATTATTATAGAAGAGCTATGCATGCCATTCAAAAATACTTATTCTTTTCACAAAGCTCATATCTGCAAAGGTCTCTGTGGTAAGCCCTGTGGTCAGAAGAACTGGTCTTGTGGTAGATTAGTAAGATGTTACTCTGATTTTTCCTGATCACATAAGCCTGTGGTGCAGCTCTTGCACTGATACGGTCTTTTGGATTGCTGTTGGCAAGGTAGGAGGATTTTTTTTTTTTTTTTTTTTTATTGTCTGGCACAGATATTTGAGCTGCTTGCTGACTTGAGTGTTAGGAACATAGAGATTGCCTTTCTGCAACGGGCAGAAAGTAACGCAGTGCATTATGTCTCACTGTGGGCAGCTGCAGGTCATTTACAGGAAGGTGTGAAGGTCTTGCAGTAGACTGGTGTGAGATACTCAGCTCCCCAAAAAGGTCTCCTAATCCTAGTCTCTTACAGTTAAAGCAGCTTCAGCCTTGTCACCTGCAGTTCAGTATCCCTTGTAAACTCTAAAGTGACTAATTCTTTTTGGAATGATTTGGGCCACACTTTTATCTCCCATCATTTCATTTGGTTGATAATCCAATAGCACTGACTCCTTGAACAGCAACATAAATTGCCTAAATCCATTGGAAACTTTTCCGTACGTTCACTTGGAAATTGTTTGCCATCACACCAGTGCCTAAGAGATCTGTTCCCTTTCCAAGTGGTGCCTGCCCTTGGCTTCTTGTCGCTTGCCCTTAGGACTGCCGTCGTCGCTCCTGTCTCCCCAGCCATTTCCCAAATCAGTACATCCATGTGAGTTTAGATCTCAGATTAGTTTAATATCAAGAGACTGTGAATTTCGTGTTTGAATATGTTTGACATTAGCACGGACACGAATTTGTAATACAACTCTCTTCTTCCTTAGTATAGAAGAAAGGGGAGGGAGGTATTTTTCCCCTGGTTTTGGAGAAAAGGAACACAATTAAAATCTGTTAGTATGGTCAAAGGAGTAACTCCACCTGCGCTCCTTGCCAGACAGATGTCAGAATTGCATCTCTCGGTGTTGAACCAAACTTGTGAAATAGAAGTATAGTGTGGAAAGAGATCTTTGCCACTGCGGCCAGTAGGGTATTACCCCATTATTCTCCCATCAGTGCATCCAGTTCCATCTTGAATTTTTTGTGTGTGTGCGGCCATCACTACAGATGACGTTGCAGTATCTCTTTTCTGGGAGATCTAATTTTCATCCTAACTGTATTTTTGGCCATGCCATACCTGTCTGGTTTTGTGCTGTAATTTTCCTCCAGCCCCAGAAGGTGAGCATGACCATATAGCAGAGTTACAGAAATTATTTGAAGACTGGCAGGGCTGAAGTGGAAGAAGACTCGCTGCTGCTACTGCTGCTGCTGCTCCTGCTGTTGGCGTTGGCTCTTTCTCCTGCACCTGAATTCTGTGTCGTTCTTCTCTCCGTCCCCGAGACGGCTGCGACAGAAGAAGACTTAGATCTTAGGCCTGTATGTAAACCAGAAGATTGAGAAGTAATTTGATCATGGTCTGCAAGTATTTGCAAAGAGAGAAAATACCTGGTGCTCAAGGGGCAGGGAGTTCTAGAATCAAACAGAATAGCATTTCTGCTAGATCTTAGCATCACTGCATACATTTTTGTGCTACAGGAGAGCATAACAGAGGAGACAGTAGCTCGAAGATCGAGATGCTGGCGTTAGAAACTGGTCCCACTCAGTTAAAAAGTTGCCTAGGTGTCTGAACAAACTGTGAAGTGACGACATGTGTCGTCATTGAGAAAGCGCTTATGGTGGGATGACATAATACAAATACACTGAGAACTGGTAACTTTTAAACTCTCTGGTATCAAAACCCCAAATCTGCCATTTTAATGGAGATTTAATGGCTTTTAGGTTCCAAAACAAAGCTAATAGTGGTGTGGCGGGTTTTTTTGAGGCGTTGTGATTTAGGAAAAAAGACCTTATTGCCGAAGAATAATAAATTCAGTTAATATAAATACATATGTATAGGTGCATATATATTTAAACTCTGCATGTAATGAGCCGTGTGTGGATTTCGAAGGGCAAGTCTGATTTGCCTTTAAAAATTTTTTTCAAACAAACCAGCTTTCTTCTATATTTCACTTCTCTTTTGACAGTTTCTGGGAACTAAAATAATATTGAATTTCACTTTCTTTTTTTCCTGCTTTTTAGAGGCTATTACGTAATTTGGGCAGGGTGAGGGGTATTAAGCACAGCATGCAAGCTTGAAGTGCTTTTATTTTCAGAAAAATGACTCTGAAGTCAGCCCATGGGGTCCTTTCGTAATCTTTTTCCAGTGAAATTTGTCTTTTGCCTACTCGGTTTACAAGCAAATCAGCAACACTTCTAAATGCTTTTCAGAGTCTAAAATCTGCAGTCCGTGTGTTTGTGATGGAAGTGGGAGAAAATCGAGAAGACTTTGCCTTTTACATGTTCCCCTGTAATTCTGCGTTCAGACTTCAGCTGACAGCATCATTCCTTGTGTTGAAGACAGCCTGGGATGCAGCTGCAGACGTTGTATGGGGCTTCAGCGCGCACGCCCACCTGGGGCTCAGTTGCTGTAGGAAACTCCTTGCAGTTTGTCAACTTCTCTCCCATCTAGGAGGAGCTTGTCATGAGTTAGTGGAGTGGACAGAGGAGTGCAGGAGCTGCTACTTCTGATTGAAATCATTATGCAGGTAGTCTCTCTGAGGCACATCCATGACTGTAAGCAAGCCCTGCCTCGGCTGCGTAAGCACTTACGTGTAGCAGGACTGCACGTGCTTGGCTGCCTTCTTGGTTTGGGGCCTAATTCCATTAGGTAAGAGCAAGCAGAGTGGGTCTCCACAGTAAACTGGCCATGGAAGGGCTCCACGGAGAACCAGGGCAGAAGTGCTGTCTTGTGCCACATCCTGTTTTTACCTTGTCCAGCATATTTTTCTGATCTGTGCTTGCAATCAATGTTGTTGAAGTCTTGATTGTCTAAGGAAATCAGCAGGTTAGAGGTTGTAACGAAATGTGCGATCTTTCAAGCAGACTATTCTCTATGAATCATATAATGAAAAGGAAATTTATTAAACCTAGCTTTTTTTTTTTGGTAGATTTCAATGGTGGCTGTTATTCACATTCCTGATGAGAGCTACAGACTTTCCTGCAGAATATTGTATCAGTATCTACTTCTAGCTCAAGGTCAATACCATGATCTGAAGGTAAGCCACGTACTGAGTCTTGTTTCATTTGGGAGACAGTTTTAGTTTGTGTAGGCTTTCAGGAGCCAAAATTAGTATAACACTTTTATTGTCATGCAAAGAACTGGGTAATAGTTACAATTATTTTATCAGTTAAGTAGTTGCAGCCAAAGTTACTGTACAGAAATATTCTATATAAAAATATTCAAGATTTCCTGGAGAAATTACTTGATTCTAGTCTAGGAAGCCTGGATCCTGTCCACTTACTAAAGCAGTAGTAAGAAATTAAGTAGCTGTCGAATGCTTCCTCTTTACAGAACATTTGTGACCTCCTTGCTAGGCTCTCAAAGCAGCACTTTCTCATATACTGCCCTTCAAATGGGAAAACGTCAGAAGAAACTTTTCTTTTAAATTTCTTTTTACCACAACACGGGCACAAGGGTTAGAAATCTGCCTAGCACGTACCGTTATGAGTTAAACCAATTGAGAGGTCATGCCCAGAAGAATTTGTGCTTCACATAAAATAAGACAAAAAAGAATAGGGGTTTGTAATATGAGCAAGAGCGGAATGAGTTGAGTGAAGTAGATTTGACAGCTTGGTGGATCTATTTTTGGTAGGAATAGATAGAAGCATCCCTCTAGGCACAGAGAATGATACACCAGAAACAGAAACCTGAGCTGTTCAAAACTTGGGCAGTTCTGTTAAAGTTCATGCTTGTACATTGACTTGATTCAGACAAGATTTGATGACTTATCCGTAATGTTTCGCCAGTGGTTTATGTAATTTTATGCTTCAGAAATGCCTGGTAACTGGGCAACTGTCAGGACTCGCAAAGAGTGAATCTGGCGCTGTTTGACCCAGTGGAAACCAGTGAATCTGGCCCAGTGGAGCGTGCATCATGTGTGTGTGTGTGTGTGTGTGTGTGTGTTCAGGTTTCGAGGGAGAGTTTGTTGACTTCTAAATGGTTGTGTATATGTGTATTTTAGCAACTCTTCATGTCTGCAAATAGTACTGCACCGACTTCAAGCCATACGTCCCCTGGTGAGAGAAGCACTGACAGAAGCTTGCTGGAAAAGGCCGGACTGGCCGAGGATGAAACAGAATTGCATGAAGAAAATAGTAAAGACTGTGTCGTTTGCCAAAATGGCACAGTGAACTGGGTACTCCTGCCCTGCAGGCACGCCTGCTTGTGTGATGGCTGCATGAAGTATTTTCAGCAGTGTCCAATGTGTAGGCAGTTTGTTCAAGAATCTTTTCCACTTTGCAGTAAAAAGGAGCAAGATGAAGATGAATCGACGTGTATCTTGCAAGATGTTCTTCCTGGAAGAGTTTTTTAATGAGGGGGAAAAAAAAATAGAACTACTGAGTTGTAGGCACCCGAGATTAAATGTAGAAAACAGACTGTTTATGGGAGGATATGTAGCATTAACTTGTGTGGTTTTGCTTTTTATTGTCAGGTAATTTTCAGCTTCCTTATTTGTCTTCACTCCATATGCTCGCAGGAACACTATGTTTATCCGTGCAATGTGGACACGAGAAGTGCGTAGGATATCTTTGAAGGATGCGATTTTATTTATAACTTCTTACTAGTTTGTCGTGGAGTACCATTGGAGGCTATTTTGATTCCTAAATTTAGTATATCTACTAAAAAAAGAATACAGCTTGCAAGCGCAGTTGCACACAGCTTGTTCTATATTTATTGTATTTAAAATACTGGAGCAATATGTCATTTTACCTGGGTGTAATTTAGAAACGTGGCACTTTACAGAATGCACCAAATGAAGGAAAGTAAATATTCTTCATTGTTAAACCTGTGTGTGTGTGTTTTGTAGACGAAGGCTGGGCTGTGGCGGCAGCTGGGAGTCGAAGGCGTGATTCAGGACACTATTTCTGGCTGTTTGGAAAGATTTGTGTGTGTGTGTGTGTGTGTGTGAGGGACCTTCGCCAAAGCCCGTTGGAATGGGTGGAAAGATTTTTTGTTGATTGCTGTTGGCTTGAACTAAACGTTGCTGACGCTTTCAAGCCTGAGCCTCTGCTATGTCATCTTGAGAAACAGACTTTCAATCTTGTTTGCAATGGCTGTAAGAACTCGTTCTCCATGCAAATGTTAGTTAATTACTCCATGGAGTGGTTACTTGGGCAGTTTTGTGGTGCTATTCTTGTACGAGTAGCCTGCTTTGGGGAATTTCCAACTCTTTTTTTGTTACTCGCGTTGTCAGCTTGGATGCAAAGTTAACCGTTTACCTTTTGTCAATAGTCCCAGGGAATTTGCTTACTCTGATAAAGAAGGAAGCTAAAGAACAGCAGAAAATTATTTCTTTTTCCCTCCGATGGTGTACTGTGAAGAGCAATAAAAATGGCTGTTGAGAAGAGAAAGTGTTGTTTTGCTTCTTGAGAGAGGCAAGTTTTCCTAAAGACAGACAGACAGGATTTCATATCTGCTCATACGAGACAAAAATACAAACGCTCCATAGAACCCGCAGAAAATCGGGAGTAGCTGCTTTCTGTCCTCCCTCTTGTTCCCTTGCAGCTTTGCCCCGCATCCAATTCCAGGACAGCTGCTCGGTCTCAGGGAGAGAAAGCCGTGCTCCGCGCTGTTCAGCTGCACTCTCCTGCAGCTCCTTTAACAGTGCTGCAAGTACGAGGTACGCACAAGGCGCTGCACACCTCCAAACCAGGGCAGGAAGCTTCCCCTACTCAAAGGTACTCCATCTTCATCTTCCTGTCATTATTTTTGGTGGTGTTGTTTTGCCATGACCTGGCCTTCAAACTCCTGGCGATTGCTTCTGAGGAAAAGATTTAGGAGGTGGTGGTGGAAAAAAAAAAAGACAGATAGAGGCTGGGAATTGATGCGTGTAGCCACAGATTTCCAGCCAGTGATCCGTAGGCTGTTTGTAAGACAATTTATCTGGTCTCTACCTAAAGTGACCTTCCTTGCCACGGACAACTCGGGAATAAACTGCCGGCCAAATCGGCCTTTTTTTCGCTCTGTGTATCAAACAGGAATTAAATACCTAAGTGTCTGGGGGGACTGATGAGTGCTTGCAGAGAACTTTGGAATACAGATGGTTCTGTGTGGAAATCACCGTAGCAAGGAATGGTGTTTGTGCTGCCATTTAGGAGGCTGAGGGCGGAGCAGAGCGCACTAGCAGAAGGAATGAGTGCTGGTGGCAGCAAGGCCATACCTCGGATAAGAACCCAACGCAGATGCAGAGCAACGACAGGGTGGTGCAGCTCAAGCAGACCCAGAGCTGCCTGATTTAAGAGAGTATAAAGACCGTAGATCTCCTGCAGTGTCTCCACCACTTGGGATGAATCCCAGAGGCAGGATGAGCACTTGTCCTCTGTGTTGCCACAGGCAGTCCTGACCGGACCACTTAGACACGTGTTGTGGTGCTAGTGAGAACGTGAACGTGCAAGAATGACCATGAAAGAATGAGCGGGTGAGATCAGTCTTAGAAATAAAAATCACCTTCCCTTTCCTTGTGGTCTCACATGGAGTTTTGCTAGCTTGGTTGCAGCAGACATGATGGAAGTAGTTGCAGAGTTTCGCCTCCCTATCCGTGTCACGAGCCTTGTTCCCCCGTTAAAGGGGATGGTGGAAATAATTACTCCTCGGACTTCCCTGCGTATCGATGTGTCACTGTTGTGAAATGGAGAGCTGGTGTAAATTGTTCCAGACCTCTGTGGGCTCTCAGAAAAATTAGTATAAAGACGAACGAGCCTGAGCCATGACAATAGCTGTTTCCATACCAACAGCTTATACTACCAGCATGTGGTGGGATAGTGGCCGTACAGCTCGTTATTCCAGAGGAGCAGGTTGATGCTGCACTGGTTCTAACCTGGCGTTGGGCGCTGCTTGGTAGTTGTCAGGGACTTGGTTTGCCCACGTAGATGATCAAAGAGGTGGTGTTTTACTGCTTGACCCCAGTAGTCCCCAATGGCACCAGTTCATTAAAATTTCCCAACAAGACAGTGTGATCCAAGCTCGCAGGTTTGTTTAATCTCAAAGTGCCATGGCATTCAAGTAAACCCCGCAGAGAATTGCCCGGTCCATCTCATCCTTCAACCAATCCATGCCAGTATTAAATAATAATGGCAAACGGGATATAACCGTGCTGAGCTGCCAGGCTGTGTATTTGCCATTAAGTCTGTCCCAGCTTTTCATTTGTTTCATGCTCTTTTAATAGTATTTTCCAGAGATGCTTAGTTGCTCTGTCAGATCTAACAAGCTTCCTTGCTGGCCTAAATCAAAGACCTGATGGAGAGTTATAAACAGTACAGTAGCTGGCTTATTACGTTTGCCCTTCTTCTAAGAAGCCACCTCAAGATATAGATCAGGTGAGAAGTAAAAGGAGCAGCTCTAAAGCTGCTTTGTGTGTCCCTTGGTTATCTTAAAAGAGGGATTCAAGACTCCAAGAGAGAAATAAAACCTTCCCGTGACCCACAAAAACACAGTGTATTGACAGAGGCTGTTCTGCTCTGTCGACCTGTTGTAATAGAAGTAATACAACATTCCTCTTCCACTCACGCTAGATGACGTTTATGGATTTGGTGACATCAAGGAACATCTGAAGACTTCTGGCAACAAGACCCGCTGCTTTTCAGCTGCATTGGGGTGTTACAGCTTTGTCATGGTTTTCGCTGCAGGAGAGAGGTGGGAGGTAACCCTCACCCCTTGATTCGGTTCATCGACTGTAATCAGAGCTGAGGCTTTGAAATGAGTTGATCAAACTAAGTGATGTTACTTAGGGATTGTCCCAAGGTGCCTTTCCAAATGCCAGTGGACTGTGACGTGGACATCTTCTTTCTGTAGAGAAAGTTGCTCTGTTAGGATCTTCCTCCCTCCCTGCCTCCTCCAAGTAGAGGTCAAATGGTAGGAGGGAGACAGTTCAGGTCAATTCATTTTAAAACGGTCTCCCATTCCCATGGGGAATTCGGAGTTCCTGTAAGGTGCTTTGAAAACCAGCTAATGCCCTGACCCCTGCTCATTATGGGCTAAAATGGTTCTGCGTTCCACTACAGACCCTGTAAGGTCTCACCACCACTGAGGATGACCATCGACCGTCAGAATGCTGAGGCTGTCTGCTGAGCTACTACTAGCCAATGCTGCCAGCCTGGCACGATGCTGTTCCCCGTCAGGAAATAAGGGAAGGGGGAATTCAGCATCTCATGTCTTGGTGGGTCTGAGCAGATGAGAACCCATGTACGTGTTTCATTCAGCTTCAAGACAAGCTTCTGTGTGAATCTGATTAAAATTATCCATTTACTTGCTAACTGAGAACCATAAGTATGGTAAGAGGAGTCAAGAATCAGGATCTGAGTTTCTCCTGCTAGTTTGTGCGTTGCTCAGTGCCCCCACGCCTTGATGAAGCTCTGCAAGGTCTGCCAGGTGAAGGAGGTCTGGGGCTGACATGCGTTACTGGGAAGTCTCTGCGGTAACTGGCCGCCAGTCACAATTTGCTCGATTGTCCTGATATCCAGAATAAACAAGGACTGGCCTCTGTCACTGCAGCAGACGTGCAGCCCCTGCAAAGGCTGTCCCTGGTGTCCTGCGTGTTTATAGCTACCGTAATTAATGCCAGGAACAGCTGAATGGTTTCTGATACAGCAGAAGTCCTCCTCTGAACTAAGCCATCAGAAAGGCTTGGTATTGTCTTGCTGCAGCGTGCTGGGCAGGAACGGCAAAGAGAAAACCAGGATCAGGGTTATATTTCTGGATAACTTTAGTATTTCAAGCATTTTAACATTGCTCTGATGGCATACAGTGACCTCATAATGCAAATCCATCCCTGAGCGTAGCTGTGAGGCCACAACTGAGCACTGCAGAGTCCCACCTTTGCAGGGTTCCCCAAAACCAGCCAGACTCCGCTCCCTGCCTTGCCACCGCTCTCCAAAGCACTGCTAGCCACGATCTCTGGGATGTTTGCCCAGCTTGGGACCCCAGGCGGGCTCAGAAAGTCTCTGCTGAACGGTGCGGAGTCGCTCTGGCGGCTCTACGCGTTGTTTGTGTATTGCTTTTCCTCCCTCGTGTCCGTGAGCGATGCGGGTAGAGAGATACGAGCTTGTAGAGTGCGGCGATGGTTGTACCTGTAAAAGGGGGCTTCTACTGGTCCCATAAATTCATAGGAATGTGCAACACCTCCATAAAGGCACCTTTGTCTGGATGCTGCTGCATCCAGAGAGGAGATGGAGAGTTCCTAGGAGAGTTCCTGCTTTAATTATGCTATCTCATAACGGGAATGATTTAACACAGTGAAAACACTGTGTGTAAACATAGTCTGGAGAGTAGATGAAGTCTTCAATGGAGTCTGATGTCCACAGTGAGGAGTCGCTCTGTTTCTCCGACAGTATTTTGAAAAACAATGACAGATGATAAATTCACGCTGAGGTTACTGAGCCTTCACTTAGGGCTCGGAGAAATCCAAAAAACTCCTTTTACTCCTCTTCCCCACACATGGACTCCTCAGCCGTAGAAA